TCCTCTGCTTCATCCCTAAACTCATCTCTAACCAGCTGCTGTTGGAGTTGAGGTATAGGCATTTCTGGCATTTCAGGATGGCTCTCACGTTTATTCTGCATTTCCTGCTCCCCAGTTTGTCCTTTGCAGGATTTCCATGCTTCTAGCACAGTGAGAGCTTCCAGGGTGGCCTATTGTGTAGCTGGTGAATTCATAATATCCCCTGAATAAAATTTCCTCCTGCATCTTGTCAAATGAAGCTATAGTAGGCAGCTGCAGATGGCCAGGAAGGGAGGGTTCTGCTCTTGCTACTTGTCCTGCAGAGTGTCCATGTGTGGGCTACCTCATTAAGTCTAGTGATAAGTTTTATTTTTGCCTTTTCTTTTTTCTGTCTGAAAAGGTGTGGACAATCAAGCATGTAGGATCAGATGCCAGTTCTATCACTGCTGCCTGTTTCTGTGCTGGTTTTGTCAGTCTTTCTTGCCAGAAGAATCTTTTCCAAGTGCTTGATGCCCTGAATAGTTGCATTKGGCTCTTTGAAAGTGATCCTCCTTTCTGCTGGGTGTGCTTGGCCCTTTTTTCCTTTTTTCCCTTCCCTCTCTCTGTATGCTGCATTCAACTGTCAACATTCTTTCACCTTTATCTGTGCGCTATTTAGGATGTCCATATAAAGTTGCTAAATGGAATTTTTATTGGTCAGCTTAGTTTAATAATCAAACAGTTTCCAGACTGGTTCTATCCAGTGCTGTGTGGATCCATTTGAAGAAAGAGAACCCTCAGTGTTTTGTTTTGTTTTTCCTATGCCCTGCAATTCCTTAGTGTGAGGTTGGGATTTAATTTCTGTAAAAGGGAAGTCAACTACTTGTCTAGATCAAGTAAGACCTTAGTCGTTAGTATATTGTTTTGGAACATCAATATCCTAATTGGAGATTAGTGTATCATATCAAGGTATTGTGTAGAAGGCCACATAGCGTATGGCATAAGTTACCCTTGAAATGTAACACCATGACAAAAAAGAAAGCTGCTTATTGTAGTTGTGTAATAAATAGTTGTTGAACAAAATGTAACTTGGACTTTTAAATAATGATAATCTTTTAAAATCAGAAATTGCCTGGAATTACTGATGTTTGACTTAATTCCAGCAATAGAAATGAGTTAAACTCCTATGGCTTGTACCTTTAGAGTGTGTCAAAGTGTTCTTTTGTTGAACTGAATGATTCGCCCTTGCTGGCTTTTGTTTCTTTGTCCCAAAACTAACAAGTGGCCATACGTGCATTTAATGTGCATTTATTGCCAAAGACAATAAAGGTTTAAAAAGTAAACAGTCTGTAAATCCTCTTTAAGATAGATGCAATTGCTTTATGAATCATCAAGCAGGAACTCTGTGGACCTGGGTGGTTACTGTTTTGCTGGATACTACTCTTGTTTGTAAAGCAGAGTTGCTCAAACTCTGGCCTAGGAGGTGATTGCATAAATTTGCTGTTGCTCGGGGACTGTCTCTTCAAAATACAAATTACAGTGTGTCATTACCCACCCAGGTTTTTATTGGTGCCCTTGAAGCTTTCGGTGAAGCTGGGAGACAAATTGCATCTCAGGAATTTAATGTGGTTATCCGAATATTTATTACCATTCTGTTCCCTGCTGGAGGTAGAGAAGGAGGGTTGTGGCAGGTCCTGTGTAAAGGGAGCACCAAGTCAAACAGGCAGGCGGGACAGGATTCCACTTTTACCTTAATTATGTTGGTGATTTGCTTGCAAAATGACCTCCATATTTCAGGTAGTAGGTACCTTTCTTTTTCAGTTGTATATTTTCGACTTAGCCAGTTGGGAACTAGAGTTAGGGTTTGGTTTAGTTATTCTTTTGTAACTCCATTTCTTTGTGGATTTAAATACCCGATTTATTTTCCGCAGAAAATTGTCGATCTTTGCCTGTTATGGAGTCAGTGTTGCAGAGCTCATCTGTCTGTCAGAGCTCTTAGTGACTTTTCAGCACTCCTCAAAGTCAATGAGAGTTAAGCTTTTCTCAGACTAGATTTACATTTTTTCCCTTTTTTTTTTTAAGAAAGGGATCTTGTTTTCCAGCATCTTAGTACTGCTTCTTCGGGCTTATTTTCCTCAGATTTTATGTTAATGAAGTTGGCATCATCATTCACTGTTTGAGGAGCTTTGCTGTTGGTGATGGTGGAAAACATATGGTAGACAAGACTTCAGAGATATTTTTCAAGACAAACCAAACAAACAGCCTAGCACTATAAAAGCACAAATATCTGAATCACATTCTTCTTCATGCTACAGTGGTGAATTACAGAATAACATTACCTGTGAAGCAATGAATTTGTTGGAAGAAGTTGTAGGGAGGAGAATTTTTAAAATACAATACTGAAACTTTGTCCATGCATGAAAAAATGATGAGGAATTGGTATCAAGTTCTCCTCATTCACAAAATTCCTTGGAAAGAGAAATGAACTGCTTATTTATAAAGTTTCTGTGGAAGTCTTTTGTTTGATTACTATTCTGTGGGGAATTTGGTGTTAATCATTCAGAGATTAAGGGGAAGCAGTTTTAATAAAATATTATATTGATTAACGTTTTTCGTGGTATAAACCAAACTTTGCCTCAGATGGCCAATAATCTTTCAGCAAAGCATTTTATTTCATAACATCTTGGCTTTCCGTTTAATATTAACTCTGTCTCCACAACAGTTTCTTTTTTATCAATGGGCAGAATCTGAACTTGATCCAAGCTAAGAGACTGCAGCCAGGAGAGGATGTGTATCTGTGTTCCTGTCCCAGCGCTCATTGTAGGAAGATCTGGGCGCCGGAGTATTTCAGTGTTTGATGTTACTTTGAAGGGTCRTGTTAAACCCCTTATTTTCTTTTATCTCAAACTACAAATAAGTAAATTGAGAGGTCCAATATGTGAAAGTATGTAAGAGCACAAAACTATCCTAACAAGCTGTTAAGCCTCAAGATATTTGCTGAATGGCTGCAACTGTTTGTGCCTCTACCATTGCCTTGCTCATTAGCATTGGACATGCTACAAAACTTGTCAGTCCCCATTTGCCCATCTGAGTACTAGCATACATGCATTCTCCTACCTCTTGGAAGCTCATGGTCTCAAATCCTAAATTACTTTCCTGTAGTGATTAATTAGCCTGCTGTTTGCTTCAGAAAGATCTGTAAGAGATCCTTGGCTAGATACATTTATTTGATGCAATAAACTGTATCACTCCATGTTGCTGGTGAAATGTGTCTCCAGCCTGAGCTGTTGAAGCAGTCAAGTGACTTTGCCAAAATCTGCTTGGGTCAATTATAAAAAACATAGATATCTATGGCCAATTTTGTGAACCTGATCATGGTCTTTTTTATGTTAATGCAAGAGCATTGATTATGTGAGGTGATAAGTACATCTCTCTTAAAATTGCTAAGTGAATAATGCTAACCTGATCAACAGGAATGTTAGTGTGGCACTTGAAGTGTGGAAGACTTCGATTTCAGGACTCTGTTTTACAAAGTCCAGTTTTATGGAGGTTGTTTTGATTTTGGTTTATTATCAAGTAACGAAAAGGATTAAGATCTATACGTATCTCAAGTGCTGAAGTTGATGCTTCTTATTTTTCCTTCTCCCCTCTCCCCAGCCCTGTAAGCCTTTTGCTGGATTTCAAGGGTCATTTCCTGCTTGCAGAGCTCCTGTTGACATCAGGAGGAGTGTTGTGCAAACATTTGAGTCTTCAGCATGGTCCCTGTTGTCCTTTTTTTTTTTTTTYTTTTTAAACTTCCCCCCAGCCAGCTGAATAAGCACAATTATCCCTGTGGTCTAGTGATAAAAGTCTATACTCACATGGGTGACGGGAACAGCTGGGATTCCGAGGCAGAATCTGACAGAGATGCAGTGCCCTTCTAGCACATCTCCTGTCACCAGTCTTGTCTTTCATGATCCAGATCCAGAAATGTAGCTTTCTTTTTTTCCTTTTTTTTTTTTCTTTTTTTTTGACTCCACTGCTTGGAGGGAGATATACCTGCTTTCTGCCAGGCCACTTTTGGGGAGGTAGTGGCAGGGCCACCAAATCCAAACCAATCTCTCTTTTGGTGTCTGCCTTGTTTTACCTGTACTTTTTTTTTTTCAGTAAAAGGGAGCGAGGCAAGATGAGCCAGAAAAACTAGCTGTTAGGTATATAGATATTTCATTAATCCTAATGTTCCTGTTCTCCCTCTGTACCAGCTGTAGGTTTATTTTACAGAGCTGATCCTATGCAGCAGCTTTTGTTCTTTCTTAGCCATTTGTGCATACTGGGACCATAAGYCACCTTTGTGAACTGTCGGCTTTGGTTGGAGATGTTATTTCATAAACCAATTATTTGAATTCTGAACTAACTAAATTCTTTATGCAGAGGTTGTTGGTAGGGGAGATGTTTGAGTCCGAATCCTTCCCAGTAACAGGAAGTGATCCTTTTACATTTTGTAATATCCATTGCTGGGTCTACAGTGGTGTCTGAAGTAATATTTGTGTACTGGAAGGCCACATTCATGGTCTTAGAGAACAGATCCTGGGTTTTTGTTTTGCTTTTGGTTCACCTCGGAACCTTGGCTGCTCCCTGAAGAAGGTGAGATATGGCCCCAGTTCCTCTTCTTGACAGAGTAGTGCCTAAACGTTTGTACCAGGAACTCTTTACACAACTTTAGTTTAAGCACAAGGGAAGTGCTGTTAGAACCATTTGACATGGGGGCAGGGGGTGCAAAGACCGAAAAAACCTTGGTGACTTTCTGAAAGGTGACCAGACTTCTGTAGCACAGACTCTGATCAATGTCTAACTGAGTGCTTTTAGCAGCCAAAAGATGAATCTTCTCCCTCATATTTCTGATGTGTTTAGTACCTACTCAATGACTGGGACAAACGCATTATGTTATCAAGAATGAGCTTTCCCTGATCAAACGTATACTTTATTAGCCACATAAATGCCAGCATGACTCTCTCATTGCTACAACATATTAAACACCTTGGAAATGTTTCCTTAAACTCTAGGTCAGTCTTATGAAATCCGTCTACTTGAGAATAGGAAATTGGGAGAGTTTCAAGATTTAAACACAAAATATGTGAAGGTAAGGAGAAATATAGATTTCTTTTCTTCCTGCTACTACATACAGCCTCTAATGAAGGGCCTGACCTTGCTCACACTAAGACAATGGAAAATACTTTGCCATTGTTTTTAATGGGAGCAGGGCTGATGGAATTACTTCTGAGTGCTAGAGTTTCATGGGACTGTGCAGATTGGCTTTACAGGGCTGCAGGGGATCCTTTTATTTTCATTGTGATCATGACCCCAGAGTTTCACTGTGAATATTGGGTTCAGGGGAATCCCAAAGTTCAAAGAGGAACATGGTCAAAGCTACTGAGAGATAGGCTTGTCTCTCTTCGTAACCCAAGCAACACATTTGTGTTGAGGTACATGTCACGAGGAAGACCCTGCTGTTTGCATCATTGTGCCACACAGATTCTGCATAGCTCCAGTTTACTTTGGTAAGGGATTTAAATTGTTTAACTCAACGTACTGAAAACGGTCCTGAGTTCTTGGTTGTTTGGTTTGGGGGATAGTCTTTTTTTTCCGCCTCCCCAAAACAGTTCAAATTTAAAACTTGGATCCAGATCTTTGTTCTGAATCCAACCATCAAACCTTCCTCTCCCAAATTCTTGGCTGTTCTGCCTCAGGGCATCTTTTGAGAAGTGGAGATCCGTTGCAAAATTTGGATTCTAATCTGATTTTCAAACGTTTTCCAAATTCAGGCAGTTCCATGTCTGTGTTTTGGCCCATTTTTGGAAGCATGTGGATTTGGATTCCAATTTTGCAGATGTTACCACTGTGACTTGCTTGCTTCTTGAAGCTAGGGTTTGATTTGGGCCTTTCTCAGGTTCATTGGCAACAATGACTTGCTCTCATTTGGTATGGAAGTCCCCAGTAGGAGCATGGACTTCAGAAGATGGGAGCTGAGGGGCCATTAATACTAGCATATCACTTGGAATATACAGAAATATATATTAATGTTAGTTTTTTACTTTGTACTGGGAATTTACCTTATTCCTGCTTTTTGTTGCCAGTTATTGATATAGCTGCACCTTTGCATCCCCCAGAAATGTTCCTATTCTTTGCTCATATATCTACACTGGGTCAGATCCAACATCAATGACTGGCTGGTAATGGCTGGAATCAAGTTTATTTCCCACTGTTGGGTTATGTCAGCTCCATCAGTACAGAAGCGGATGAGCTGGCTTTCATATTTGTTAATCACAGCAGGAAAAACTAGGGCTGGGGCACGGTAGAGACACATTAAAATATACCTTGCATTGTGGATATGGAAGCAGTATAGTGATATTCACATGGTGTGAAACCCAAGATAAGGTGGACATAACTATAGTGCTTCCAGACCAAATCCCAGAATACTGTGCAGGGCTATGTTGTGCACCAGACGTGCCCTGTGAGCAGGGAGTGTTCCTCTCTCACCTTAGGATTTTGACCAACATAGCGATGGGTCTGTTAGGTAGATCCTCTCTTCTCATCATGAATTGGGGTGAGAAACATGTAGGAGGAACAGATCAACTTCCTTTTCCTTCTACGCTGGAAAGCCAAAGTAATCTCGCATGAAAGACCTCTGCGTCACCTTGCTCATCTTGCCATTTTCTTTTCAACAGAGCATAATTCGTGTAGTTTTCCACGATCGACGCTTGCAATACACAGAGCATCAGCAGCTAGAGGGCTGGAGGTGGAGTCGGCCTGGGGACCGCATCCTCGATATAGGTGAGAATGTTACCTTGTGGTTCCTGTGCACTGTATGGAAGGCAGGTGCTGAATGGTGTGTGGTGTGTCCATGTGTGGATACTTCATACTTTGCTTCCTTGGGAGACCTTAAGGTCTTTGGGTGGGAAGGAGATCATAGTAGCGTAGGTCCCAAATAGATGTATCATTGGTGGCTTCACTTTTCACATGCATCTTGTAATTGTATGAAAGTGCTTTCTCTTCTTCAATTTAATATTTTTAAAATTTTAGGGGTTTTCTTCTACAGATATTCCCCTGTCAGTTGGTATCTTGGATCCCAGGGCCAGCCCAACCCAGTTGAACACTGTTGAATTTCTGTGGGATCCATCAAAGAGAGCTTCAGCATTCATTCAGGTAAGAAATAAGTTTTATTCTTGCAGTCGCAAGCATGTGTGACTAGTTTATAGGATACTTGCTAAACTAACCTAATACTGGGGGAATACTGCTTTCTAAGCATGGGGTTTGCTTGGGGAAAGCTGTTCACAAGCTGTTATTTTTGTTCGTTTCCTTTTTCTTGAGTATTTCTAAAACCAAATACCAAGAATCTGTTTTTATGTGTGTGGGGGATGTAGTTAAATCAAAGGATACTTTTCTTTATGCACTGTTTCTCTCTGGGGTCCTTGTTCTTTTAAGTGTTTTGTCCGAAGGAACAGAAGTAAAAACATTTATAACTCTCTGCCTTTTAGTTTCTAGGGAGGAGTCAAAACCTCATGTTCTGGTAGTCCGGTAGTCTGTAAATTCAGGGAGTCTGAAAAATAACCTATTGCAGCTTAAGACCATCTCCAGAGATAAGCACAGCTTTTGTTTTGCCAGGTACATTGTATCAGCACAGAATTTACTCCACGGAAACATGGAGGAGAAAAAGGGGTACCCTTCCGGGTACAAATCGACACCTTTAAACAGAACGAAAATGGTGAATACACAGAACACTTGCATTCTGCAAGCTGCCAGATCAAAGTGTTCAAGGTACGAGGTGGTTTTGGCTTTGTCATCAACAAAATTAAGACACGGAAACCTGCAAAGCTTTTAACATGTTTTGGTCATGATACAAAGTGTGGTGTAAAAGGACAAAGACTTTTAAGTGGGTGTACTTTAAATCTTAAACAGGACTCTTACACACAAAGCTCTAACCTGCCCTGCAAATCTAGCTGAATTCAATTGACACAAGTGCCACATTCAGACTGATGCCAGTCTGTTGTTTCTTGAACACTATAAAAATACTGAGATCTGGGCTGTGTGGATGTCTTAAAATGAACAATATCCCCAAACTGCCATGGGTTGCCATGAAAACTCACCTCAGACTCCTCTGCACAGATTTCTGAGGAATACAGACAGGAGTCTCCAGAAAGCATTTCCCTTCACCTCTTTGTGCCATGAAGATGATGAATATTAAAGACTAAACAAAATACCATCCAGTTTCTCAGGAATATAGAGGCTCTTGTTTTAAGGCCTTTTGAGCCAACATACTACCTTAGTGGTATTTGAGGTAACGACCATGTTTCAGTACTCCTAGGCAATCAATATAGAATGGGAATTTCCAGTTTCTTTGGTTGATTCTTCCAGGGGCAGTGAGAGCGTGGCATCAAGACCTTAAAATCTCTGCTTGATGCAGCAGAGTTCCCCTCCATGCTGCCTGGTACAGAGAAAAATGTTGATGTTCAGTCTTGAAGCTCCTAATCTTTGAATAACATACTTGTAGCCACTTAAGTTTTGCATAGGCCTGTTTTCACAAACCGTCTTCTGCTTCAGTTTGATCCTATGACTGCCATTGTTCCTGTTCCTGGAAAGATGGTACAAATGTCAGTTGAAATACATTCCTCATGGGATGTGTATTCTGAAATAGCTGGTATCAAACCACAGGGCTATGGTCAAACTATTTTGGAATTGCAGCTGTCATTAATGGGGGTATACAAACAGTAGAGATGTTTGACTAAACTTTCGTCGGCAGAATACAGATCTGATCTCGCTCCATATGTAGAATCACCATAAATCTTAAGTAAACTATTGTGAACACATTAGAAAAAAACCTGTTGGCCTCGGTCTCCAATCTTGTCATACTTGGCATAAGGGAAAGCTTGTGCTTGTGCTTGTAGCCTAAAGGAGCAGACAGAAAACAGAAGACTGACAGGGAAAAAATGGAGAAGAAGACCACACAAGAGAAGGAGAAGTATCAGCCTTCCTATGAGACAACCATTCTCACAGAGGTAAAATGTTTTAAACACATGTTGTAGTACTGCAGTATATTGGAAAATAGATTTCAGTGGTAATGCATTTTGACTGAGGCTTAGAGATTGTCTTGTGGAGACTCTTGTGCCAAGGTCTGACTGAAATTGAGAGCTGAGTAAAATGATAAAATGAAATTGAGCGAAGTTATAAACTGTTCATAAAAATTCATAAAATTGCCATTGACATGTAAAAACTTGTGGTACAAAGATACCAGTTGTATGAGGTATTTTCTTCATAACTGGTACAAGCTCATGTGGGAGATGGGACAGTGGAACAGATGAACAGGCTTCTTATTAAATTAGAAGTGTCTTTTTTTTTCCTGTGAATGTGCTTTTGAGACTACTATAATATGCTTGATCTCAGATTCATCTGACTTAYACTCTAGGAATATCTTGAATATCTTGTGTTGTGAATGTGAATATTCTTTGATATTGAGATACGTGTGTTTCTAGTCTCCCCACCCCTGTGTACTCATTACTAAGATATATGCATAAAGTCACCATGAGTTACAGAATTGCTGAGCAAAGGGATTCAAAACAATAGTTCAGAAGTGCTGTTCCACATCCCTGTGGGGATATTTTGTAGTTTGATTTATTTCTTTTTTTTTTTCTTTTTTTTTCTTTCTTTTTTTTTCTTTTTTTTTTTTGAAGTGGCCTGCTGGCTCCAAAAATGAGAATTTTTTTTTTTTGCTTTCTTTCTCTCTTTTTTCCTTAATTTAAACAAACTTCCTTTTTGTGAGATCCAATGCCTCCCACCCAATTTTCCTTTAAGTTGTCAGGAGCGACCAGTGTTCTTTTAATTCAGCATGGTGGCTGTTAATGAGGCTCTTGTGTACACATAGCTAGTTCTACTGAGTTGGCAGGTCCTGAGCTCTTACTGTTAGCTGTGATGCACTTTGACATATTGCACAGGAAAGTGTGGGTTGCTAAAGAGTTAAATATTTGCTAGTGGTGTGTTTGTGGAGATAAAATTCAAAAGCTGCAGCTTGTCTCCCTTTTATCATTACAAAGAAGGATACTACAGAGTGTTTTCTTGATGGGGGAGTTCCACGAGGCTAGATCTATTCTGAAGATTACTGGCATAAATCTGGAACAGAGATACCAATTTTAACTGTGTTACTCTGGCTTCACACCACTGTAATGGAGTATAGAGCTTGACCTGTATTTGTAAAGGTTTTTAGTAGCTTTTGTCTGTCTATCCTGAATTTTCCCCATGTAATACCCATTTATAACTCAAAATCTCTGGCTGCTAGCCAAAGAGCATAACAGACTGCCCCAAATTCTGATCTTTCGCTGGTATAAACCTGAAACAATGCCACTGGAGTGTGTTTGTCACTCTTGTCTGGATTTAATTAGGGATTTCTAATTGAGACCATGGGTATTTCTGTGTCATTGCTGCCTTCAGTCTGAGTTGACTTACTGGCGTTGCTCTGACTTACAGCTGTGCACACTTTGGCCCAGTGTTATTTGGGGACAGGCTTTGTGAAATGAGAGAAATGTGGAATGCACAACTGGAATCAATCTGGCCCCCTGACAGCCTGCTTGGAGTCGATCATAGAAAATCCATGGCCTGTCTCCTCCTCCCAGCAGGAGTGATGAGCTGAAGTTAGTGGCGTGGCAAGAACATAAAAGTGGTATGAGTGGAGAATCAAATCCTTTATTTTCAACCTTATGAAAGTGTCCCTGCTGCCTTTCTTTCAGTGCTCTCCTTGGCCAGATATGCCTTATCAAATGAACAATGTTCCATCTCCAAGCTACAACAGTTCTCCAAACAGCTTCAACCTTGGAGATGGGTATGTAACAAATAAATGCTTTATCTTTCCTGTTGATACAGTAGCCTGCTTGTGCATCCGTTTTGTATGCCCATATATTTTGTACCTTTAAAAGGTCAAAGTATGTCTCTCAGCACCCTTTATAGAAAGTGATATGTATTTCTCCCAAAAACTTCAGCACCTTCTAGCCAGGAATTCTCTGTATTGCACAGTACTCCTTGTACGTCCACTGGGTATGTGGGTGGCTGGGAAGAGAGCATTAGAGGGCTACTAGGGCAATTCATTTCGTGAATTTCTCCTCATGTTGGACCTTGTTTCAGCAATTCCAAGTATCTTCTAAGAAATGTATTAAGCACATTTTATGGCATTTGGCACCTTTACAGAGTTGGTATTTTTTGTTCTATTTCTATCTTGAGATGCTTTGTGATAGTGTGCTGAATTCTGAGTTGAAAAGGCTTTGAAGAAATTCTCTCTGGAGCAAAATAGTCTGGATTCCAAGGACCTGTTCTAGAATGAAGGTTGAAGATGGCAGGTTTAATACTGCCTTCATGAAGAAGCAGCTTAAGTGGTCCTGAAACATTGAGATATAGTTGCCTGCTGTAATATTCACCAAAGTCACTTAGTAACTTTTGAGTATTCTCTGTAACATATTTTCCCCTCAGAATTTGGCCTAGGACTTTTCTCCTCTAGAATTCTACAGCCTTGTCAGCTTCCTGTATAGCTCGTTAACTAATTGATAGAAGAGAACTTTTGTCTCCCTAGAAGCCCATGACTTCTACTTTTGACACTAGAGGGTGGATTTCCTGAACTGCGAGTGTTTTTTAATGAATGTGTAGTGAAGCTGTCTATCAGAAGAATAGGTAGTTAGAGAAGGAGGAGTGATTATATCACAGATTTTCAGTGGATGACTTACACTCATGAATAAGGACCATTACTTACTGAAATAGCAACACATTTGTGTCTAATATGATTTAATAACAACTGCATTTGAAATAGCATCAGGTTTGTGTTACAAGGTCCTTCTCTTTTTTTTTTTTTTTTTTTTGGAGAATCCTTAATACACAATGGGTTTTGTCACTCATAAAATGTATGAGTTTGGTCATTATGTCAGCTCAAAACTTGCATGGATGATACAACATTCGTGAGCCACCTATTTTCTCTCAATGTTGAGTAAGATCTTAATTGAACAACAAAAAGCTCAAACTGGAGTGGCGAGGGGGGATTTTGGTGTGAATATTTTTGACCCAGTATTTAGAGACATTTTTCTTAATCTAAGAGAAAGAAAAATGCCAAGTGGGTATGAAACTTATATCAGTTGAGTCAATTTTAGGAGGGAAAAGAGGATGGACAATACAAGGTAAAATACAAAAATAATGATTTTCTCTTCCAACTTTATGTAATTTTTTTTAGCAACAGTTCTCCAACCCACCAAGTGGAGCTCCTGCCTCCCAGCAATGATGTAAGTATGAGATCATGTTAATGTGGTGCTTTTCTTTTTTTAGGACACTGGTGAACAGTTCATTTCAAGACCTTCTTATTCTTTTTGCAATGTAGCATCTCCTTCCTTCTGCTTCTATTCAAGATGCCCAGCAGTGGCTACATCGTAATAGGTTTTCTCCATTCTGTAGACTCTTCTCAAGTTTTTCGGGTGAGTTTAAACAGTCCAAATATTTTTTCTTATTCTGTTCTGTGAGGGGAGCTCATGCTTCCTATGCATAGCATCTGCTGCTGGCGACTATGGAAGGGACTATTGGTCTTACCCATTGTGATGGTTCTCTAGTTTTAGGTTAGTTAGTATTTGCTAGAACGGATTCCAGCATCAGAATAAATTAGGTTGGAAGGATTCATTGAGATCACTAGGTCCATGCCCCTGCTTGAAGCAAGTAACTGGAATTAGATAGAGTTTCTCGGGGCTTTGTCCAGTTGAATATCTCCAAGGCTAGAGATTCTACAACCTGTCTGAACAAGCTCTTCAAATATTTAATTACTTTTGTAGTGAAAAGCTTCTCCTTGTATCTAATCAATATTTACCATCTTCCAACTTTTGTCAGCTGTCTCTCGTGCTGTCACTGTGAACCTTTAAGAAGAGACTGGTTTCATCTTCGTTATACCTTCCTATTAAGTACTGGTAAACACCAGTAAGATGGTAGAAGGGGTAAGGGGCCAAGAATTACAGACTTTTGAAAACCTGTACCAGGCTTCCAATGTGCTTGTAAGGTGCTAAAATAGCCTGGTGAAGGTGGCAATAGGAGAGAAAACTGGGCTATTTAGTTAAATAGCTAGCTTTTATCTATGCTGGCTAGAGTATCCTCCTGTGAACCACTGCTCTTCTGGCTGCTTCCAGCTTTCTGTTTCACAGTGATTGATGTGCAGTATACACCTCTTTAAATTTGCAACATCTCTTGGAAGAGCTCTCTGATTCAGTTTTGTAGATTTTCTCTCCCCCCACAAAGCTTCTGCTGCTCTTACACACAATTTGGAAGTTAAAGTTTGCTTAACTTCTGAACAAAATACATTTTAAATATGTAGGTGCTGATTTACTGAAAATGTCCAAAGAAGATTTTGTTCAAATCTGTGGGCCTGCTGATGGAATTCGTCTCTTTAATGCAATCAAAGGAAGGTCTGTATTCTTCTTTTGTTTTGTTTTAAATATTGTGACAACATCCCTTGGTGTCTCCAGTGTTAACAAGTACCATTCAAACATATGTAACAGGTAGGCCTCTTCTGTCATAGTTCAAAGACATCATCATAGAGGCTGGAGTTCATAGTGGAGTTCAGATCCCGAGCAGCTCAGAAATGCTCCCAAACTCAGACCCAAGTAAAACTGAAGCAGCATAATGTGGATCTCCAGTGGTTCATTTGCTATCACCTGTAGCTTTGGTCCGATTCATATGAGACACAATCGAACACAAAATCTGAACCTTCAGGTAACTTTCAGACGTACTTAGATGGCCATAACGTCGTAAATTCTCCATCTGGGCAGGGTTAAAACCATTCAATGAAAGCGTAGCAAACCTCTTGGCAAGTGCTAAATACTTTTTTGTCTTACTTGATCCTGAAGATATTAGGGTGTTGCACTGTACCATCCTATCCCAGAAGGACTCTTAATACACCTCCTAAGACACCTTGTCACCAGATTTGAGACTGTTCCTTAGCTATTTTTGTAAGGCCTGATTGATTCCATATTTCAGTGTTTGGTTATTTATTGGAACAATTTACTAAACTCACCACTGTTTTCTATTAATCCATAGAAATGTAAGACCCAAAATGACAATTTATGTTTGTCAAGAGCCTGAGCAAAACCGGTCTCATCTTCATCAGAAACGAGAAAATGGAGATGGCAGTCTGTGTGGTGAGTTTTTAATATGGATATTGTTAAGCACTTGTCTGCTGAGAAYGCTGCTTTGGACCTTTGCTCCCATGTGGAACAGCTTGGCATCCTGTATGCTTAAGGAGAACAAATTTGTCTCGTTTTTGACACTTTTAGGCCAGTTTCAAGGCTGCTGAGTCCACCTTGAGTGCCATCAACCTGGGGAATAGACTCAACTTGTCTGAAATTTGGTTGGAGGGGGAGAAAAATCTCCAGTACAGGGCAGCTTGAAGGCTTGCTGGTCAACTGTATTGCAGGCCTACTGGTCAAGCATACGTAGTTGTCTGCCAATTTAATATTACACTAAAGGACAATGATTTAATTTCTCCCCCTCTTCCCAACCAGGCCTGTGCATGAGGAAAGTCGCTGATCTTTATAAGACATTTCTTAGCAGGCATTTAACATTTTTTGTTAATGTTGCTTCTTTTTTTGAAGTCATTGGGACTGCCTAAATGAGAGATGACCTCAGTTCACAGACTTCATGGTTTGTAATTATTTTGTCCCAATCTGGATATATTTCCTTCCAGAATTTGCAAAAACATTTTTGCTTTTAGTTAGGTGCTTCAGATAGCAATGTCTTTTGAAGCATGAGGTGTAAATATCTGTATGTTCTGTGGTATAAGAGTATATTTATAAAAGCATATATACTTATAAAAGTATAAGTATACTTTTGTAAAGTAATAGGCAAAAGATACTTTCACTGTTTTTCTGAGAGTGACCTATGAAATATCACGCCTATGATATCTGTCAGATTTGATACTGTCCCAGTTAGACAATAAAGTTTGTACATTTGACATCTGAAATCATTGTTTAATCAGTTGCTCACGCCATCAGTAGGTCTTGTTAAAAAGCCCAGGGGAGGTGCACGTGGACAGCAGCTCTAATGAAAGCTTGAGAAGAAAAAAAAAAACACTTTTCCTCCTTAAAAAATTAACAAGAACTTTATGTGGTTGGCATTGTAATATAAAAGCTAGTAACTCTATAAATTAATCCAGGAAATAAAACGAAACAGTATCAGTAAAAAAAGGTTTGTATTTGAGAATGCAAGCTATGTACACCTAATATCTTAAATTTGAGTTATAGTAATGTACAGAATATCATAGCAAAGGCACTGTCATTTTCTTACAAGGGCCATAGTGTTAAAATCTACTATGACATCCACAGTTTGTTTGTAGATTATGGCTTGTTGGAAGATACTGTGAAAAATTGAAGCTAATTATGTCTTGGAGTGAGGTTCTAATTCAGAAAAAGTCAGTTTTTGGAAACTTGCAATTCCTATCTCAAAACCTTCTCCAGAAGTATGGTAGAATGAGAATGAAACCTTTGCATAGTTCTTGCACACTGAGTGTCAATCAGGCACAGCTTCTCTACCATATGGTTTCTACCAGTTGGATCAGATTGAAAATTAATTCTGTTTTCTATAGTTGTCCAGTACATTGTTAACTAAGCTTGTTTTTCTGCTCTCCAGATTTGTACCTCGATCTTAAACCCATTTGGTTGTTTGATGTTGAGCATCATGTTGTCTGTAGTAACTAGTCTCTCCAACTTGTTGCAGTGTATCATGCAATCTTCTTGGAAGAGCTGACGACCCTGGAATTACTTGAGAAGATTGCAAACTTGTACAGCATTTCTCCACAGCAGATAAATAGAATCTATCGGCAGGGACCCACGGGGATCCATGTGTTAGTGAGCAATGAGGTAAGGGGGGTGGTGGGGTGTCAAAGTCAGGATCTGAGATATCAGAGCCGTAACAGCTGTTGTCTGATTTCCTGAAGTTAGAATGACCATTGTGGAATGAATCTTCAAGGAAACTTGTAAGCTTATCAATGCTAAAAAGTTAAAGATGTTAAAAGTTAAATGCTTAGTGCAAATCATTCATGCATACCATTGATTTTGGTGTGATCTTGAGATCTTTGCTTTTTAAGAGAAGCTATTGAAAACACACATTTTTCTTYTCACTTTGGGTGATTGAGCAAATTCTGAAGTGAAGATCTGAGGCAAGATCTTTAAAAGCTAAACAGAAAAATTACCTGAAAAGGACAAGTTTTAAAATCTGTGGGCAAGTAGTATACAGCCACTGGGTCAGAATGAGTGCTGCATAAGGGCATACAAATATTTCATGGACCTCTCTAGCTGTTTGTGTCCCATTACATGCTGACTTCATTAGTCCATTCCATTAACTTGCAGGTTAATAGAGAGTTGCCCTTCTTCCTCTTTTTTCCCCTAAATGACTTATTCATGCACCAGAATCACTTAAGAAGCTTCATTTAGAAGAAACATTGTTAAAACAAATGAAGCAGAGCATAGGTCTCAACCAGAGCCTAAACTGAAGGCTGTAATGCTTATTCCTAAACTCTCCTTGCTGTTTTGGCTTGATTAAATCTGAAACCTTAATACTTTACGGACATAAAGTGCTTGGAGGCAACTCTACATAGGGGAATTGCCTCAACCAACTTAGGTATAAGGGAGCTATAAGTATTTAAGTCATTTATTAACAGCATCTAGTGGTGGTGGTTTTTTTTTTTTTTTTTTGTTCTAGTATATAGTGCTAAGAGTGAGGCATTGCATGAATCTATTTCATGCATTGTTAGGCACAGGCAAACAGGCCAGTGAAGTTGGATTTGTGGGATGGAGGAGGATGGAGGAGGGGTAGGTGTTCAGCTGAAAAAAGGAGAGTAGGGAGATGAGTCTGAGGTGAAAAGCATGTTTGGTGTGATAACTTGCAGCTGGAGAATCCTCCGCTTGAACAGCATTCAGTAGCTAGAAGGCTTTCACTTAAAGATGGATTTTGTGGGCCCATCATGAAGGGTTCTGATCACCTCCCTTCCAAAGTYAGGTGTCCGTGTCTGCTCCATCTGTAGGAGATACCTCCAGAGGGTAATTTACCTCTTTTATCTGAGAGAGCCACTTTGGGATGGCATGAAAGATTGACTATGGATGAAATAATTAAATGAGTAGTACAGATTGGAGTGAGTTCAATCTCTTAACACCATCTCCTTACTTAGAGGTCTCACTAGAACCTGTTTTGAAGATCTGGTTGCTTCTCATGAATAACTAAAATAACTTTGGATTCTGATCTTACCTGCCATGATCTGACTTGCCTCTCGTTGGAGCTTGGTTAAGATGTGTGTGCCTTGGTAGATATAAGCAGGTGGGTGATTCCTGCAAGCACAGCATCTGTACTTAGTCCAGTCAGAATAAACAGATGAATGCTGCTGAGATGACTACATAGGAACAGTATTCCTTTATTTATCGAGGAGTCCATTTCTCAGTGCTGACCACCTCCAGATATTAACTGAGACGCTAATAAAAACTATAACAAGCTTTATGCTCAAGCTGGATATGTGTGTGTGTGTGTGTGTGTGTGTGTGTGTGTGTGTGCACGCCCTTGTGTGTATGTATTACCTGTGCTAGACTTCAGGAGAGCAATTGTCTCCATCCAGTCTAAACTGGTACTGCTTCCTTGAAGGCAATTAAGAGCATGAGCTTTAAAGGATCTGGCTGGAGTGGGGTAAGAACTTACAGGATCAAGACAAGCAAAGAGGATGGTAAAATGCTGAAAAAGCCAGATCAGTTCACAGGAAGCAATTAAATACAAGCCTCTCTTAAGCACATTAGCAACTGCAAGAACACTAATTAATCACTTGTGTACTTCATTGCTCTTGCAGGCAAGGAGAGTGAGTGAATGAGAACTGTGTAGGCCTAGACACTAGTTGTTTGATAACTTTTCTTTAAGATTTATACTAGTATTGAATGAATTGAACCTAACTAAATTGCTAAAAACATTTTGTGCTGACTTCTTTTTCTTCTGCCGCTCAGATGGTGCAGAACTTCCAAGATGAATCCTGTTTTGTTATCAGCACATTAAAAGGTATGTATTGCTGCTGCTATCACACACACTTCTAAAGATAATTTCACCTTTCCTTTAAATATTTTTACCAATTTTATAATCTCAGTGTCTATATCCTGAAGAGAGAAATAATCTAATTTGGTGGCAGTGAGTGGTGCTATACAAATTTGAGAGATTGATTGTTACGCTTTCCTCTCAGTTACACTGTTATAGAGCTTGCCTGGTTCTATTGATGTCACTGATGTAAATGAGCAGAACATCCCCTAGTAAAATGCTAAAAGATGACAGTTGATGTCTTGTATTTTTTATGCAAATTATTTGAGTTAGATGTGCGACATCACCTTCATGAAGGGGTTGTGGAACAAGAGCTCAAACTATCTAAACCTGGAGCTAGACATCTGTGCTGTTTCTTAAAAGCAATCAAAAATGCTTTGCCTTTCTTTGTTACAGCTGAAAGCAATGACGGCTACCACATCATCTTGAAATGACCATGCTGCATAGAAAGACTAAATTTTAGTGCCTCACTGAGATTGCTACAACGTAGACTGGAAACATGAAGAACYTTCTGGATGAAATGCTCCTATGACCTAGGAATTACCATCTTAAGGAAGGAGATTGCTTTTACTGATACACATTTTATTTTGTTTTATTTGGGAATTGGAGCTGAGAACATTCTCAAAACTTATACATGTTTCTTCCTCCCTCCCTTCCTCTCCAGACTTAGAAATTGTTGAGGTTTCTGCTTATTGCTTTGAAACACCTGAWAATGAAAGATAAACAAAACCCAATTCTCTAGACCCCCTCATGGTTGGGTGAATTGATTTACATACAGTTCTGAGTGCTCTCCTGCTTTCAAAACACAGAACCCCCAGGCTGACAAATATGGGCTCCCAGGGGCTTCTCTTTTACTTTCTTTGAGATGGAGGGCTTGGGGCTAACTCCAAGAGCAGATCAGGCAATGCAGAAGTTGGATTTTGTGCCCAGTCCCCACCCAAAGTGTCAGCCCTGGAAGCCCACACTTAGGTGCTGCCTAMCTGTAGATGTTCTCAGACATGATTATGTACGGAGAGAATGTGTGCCTGTACAACAGGATAATTTTACAGGGTTCAGGAGAGGACATACAACCTGAAGCAAGTAGTTCAATCCTGTACTTTAGTTTTAGAATGGCCTCTTTGAATAGMATATGTGAGGGTTTTCTGAGGAAATGTTTTGAACATTGAAAGTATAGAGCTCATGACAAATTATGTTGCGGATTTGTTCTGTTCTGAAAAGCATTAATTAATTGCTATTTTTGCTATAACTGGTGGCTAGGTTTTATGGTCTTGATGATTTTCTCCTGTTACTAAAGCAAGTAGAAATAAGTTTTGATTGAATTCAGGTAATGAATAATCTTAGTTGCTGCTTCTTAGACTTTTGCTCTTTCACTCCTGTGTCCTGTTTTAACTATCTACAACTACAGTCAACTCCACCCTTCCTTGGTCTTTTGGGATGCCATCCAGGCTTGACTAAGAGGAAAAAGTGACCTCCATGATATCAAGGATGGAACTGCATCACACCTTTGCACACATCATAGATAGAGTCATTTCGGTTTTGGCACCTAATTAATATTAGCGTCTCCCAAAGTGAATGTCCATCTAGCATGAAATTCTCTTGCTTTAACATTTCATTTTGTTCTGAAATAAGATGAAAAGCCGAAATATCAGAAAAAAAAAAAAACTCTTGGAAAGGAAAATTTTCAAAAAAGCAGTCTTTGGAAAATGCTGAACAAAATGTTCTAGCATTTCAGAATGGAAACATTTAATGAAATCCATTTGACCCTTAGAAGAGCCTCAGTTTGCACTACGGTTGCAGACCTCAGAACTTACCATTCAAATGCTCCACGCTCCGTGTCTCCCCGGGGGGGCTGAGCTCTCTGGCTGGACTACGGATCCCATGATGCACTGTCGTGGGTTAGTCACAGAGGGAATGCGTCAGGAAAGCTGGAGGGGTGCCCGGGAGTCCAGTCTTCTGGGAAGGATGGAGACATGCAGCGGTTGAATTACAGCTCCCAACTGACACTGGAGGAATCYGACAGGCACGGATTAATACTTGTCTGACAGAAATGAAATGCTTCAAGTTTCCCCCGCAGAAATAAACAGCATAATATTGAGGAAAATCAACCATTTTTCATTAAAAGCATCAAGTTTTGCGTAAAAACCCACTTAGCCACACCATTTTTGTACAACAAAAAAAATACAGGAATAGAAAAAATGTGTTACAATGGGAAAACCTCCAGCCAGCTTGACTAATTGAGTAATGCTGCATACTTAGGCATGATGTTGCTCAGCTGGGTGTCCTGGATGCTCCAGCTGCTGAGGAGCAAGCTCTGGGGGTTGCAGGCCAGTGTGCGTWGGTAAGAAAGTTGTAAGGGGTCCATCCAAAATGAGGTGAGGCCAGACACRTGTTGGGAGGCAACTTGGAGAAAGAAATGTCTTCAAGGAAGATGGGAAACATCAGCTTTCTGAGAGGAAGGTGAGACCATGTTCACCTTGGGCTCCGAGAGGGTTGTATATCCAGGCGTCCTGCTTGCATGTGAAACAACAGCAGAAGGGGAGCCAAACTTCTGTGCAGCCAGAACCTTCATGTGCCCACACGTTGCCATTCTCAATCCTCTTTGTGGCACCTGCTTAGGAACTTGCTAAATCTCATAGCAAAATCATGCTGGAAGGTGGAGTTGCCCCTCTTTTGTGTCACTGCACTCCAAGGAAAATAATGTACATAAATGACAAAAATTATTGTTGCTGACTCAGACCAAGTAGCGTTCTAGGGATTCCTTGCTCTGTATTAGAGGTTTCTGTCACTGCTGCAGCTCTGACCCTTGCTCTGCTGGGGAGCACCCTTTTCCCCTGGGCACAGAGGCATTTGTTTAGTAAGTCCGCTGTTAAGGTTGCCTTCCAAAATGGGGAATAAATTCCAGCTTTACTACAAGTAGTTGGCTACCTATATGCTGTTGCGTACCAGCTTAGTTTTGAGAGCCCACCTTTGAATGGTCGTAAGTAGCTGTTCATTTTGTGTATTCTTTTAATGGAAAATATTTGGGAATTTCCTATGCCAGCTGCACTTTTTTGTTCTGCTTAATAGTAATTGCTAATATCTGGCACAGATACTGTTTGCCTACAATTTGGATAAGCAAATCTGATTGAATGAGATGGATTTAAAAGAAGCATTGGAGTTGCCACATGGAGTATAGTCTGTTTGCATGTGGTAGCGCTGTAATTCAGGGGACACAGCAATACTGCAACGCAGCAGTGTGTGAATAAAGGATAGAGGCACCTTTTGCTTTCAATATTAGAGATTAAGAACCGTGATGATTTAAAAAATATATACCTTGTTCTTGGCCATTTCCAAAACAAATCTCGCCCATATGGAAGTAGATCTGAAAGTCCTAATGCTATTTCAGTAGCACTTGATAGATTTTTGAACAAAAATAATTCTGTTAGGACTTTGTTGTATTTAGAGTTTTTCAAATCAAATTATTTTACACTAATATGAGGGCAGATTTGACAATATATCTTATTCTGCTTTCCGTGCTGCAACAAGGTATAGCAGAGTAAATGATCATATATATTATAAATGTTGTCCTACTAGGTGGGCTGTACTGTTTCATCTGTGTTAGCCTGTTTGTAAATTTGTTGAACTTCAGTGTGTATGTAAGGCATACCCTAACTGACAGAGTGCTTCTGGACCTTTCTGAACCTCTCTTATCCCAGCAGAATTTGAAAGATTGTGCTTAGGTAACATATACATGCATGAAGATGTAAGGCAGCTGGTTTGCTGGTTATAAGAATATCAAAGAATGTCAGATTCATAATTTGCAGACAAACCTTGCCCTCTACATCCCCAAAACACCACAGCAAACCTTTGGCCCCTTGAAGTCGATGAGTTTTTCCATGCAGATACGAAGCAGAATCTTCATGATTTATTTTAGTGGCTTGTGTGAAGGACGAGAGTGAGACTTGAATTTCAACTCTACATGTGGAATTTGTGCAACAGAGTTTATAATCTCTAGGTTTTAAAAGTTTTAACAAATCAGTTTGATATCCCAAACTGTCCACCTCTCAATGATTCAGGTGATACAGCCTGTGAGTAGATGTAGACTTTATCAGCATGAAATTATTCCTTGACTAAAAACAGTATGATACAGCCAGTGCTGGAGCCTGAGTTCTAGACTGATTGACATGAGCTGATCTGGAATTATTTCATAAATCTATGACGTTTTTCCAGCCATTGAGTAAACTGAAACAAATCTGCTAGTACCTGGCTGGTGGTGACAGTCTGAGAACTCTTAGATGTGCCAGTTAAATGATACTTGAGGGTTCAAGATGGAAGGCACAGGTAATCTGAGGATTATCTGATCTTCATGTCAGCTGATTATCATTTCATYTGATGATGATCTGATGAAGTTTGTGCCATTTGTCTGAGGTGGAAGGATTGGTTTTAGTAAAATCGAAGCTTCTCTCAGCTGTCCCTACTTGGTTARCTGGCTAAAATTTCAGTAATAATTCAATCTGGAACATACTGGAGCTCTCATTTTCTTAGAGTGAAATATAGAGGGCTGATGTTCAAAGATTTGCAGGTGGTGAAAGGAGTCTTGCAGTTGAGAAGACCTGAATGGCACTCTCCTAGTAATGTAACATATACATATTTATGCATATATATCTACATACATACTGTATTGTATCAACACATATACGTGCTGAGTACTTGTGTCTTTTGGCTTTAACTGGTACTCTGCTTTGTTTAATTGCAGTTCAATGTAAAAGGTTGATCAAGCTTAGAAACCCAGCCATTCCTTGGGTAGAAATGTAAAAAGTTCCTAATCGCGGCTTTAGGTGATTTGAATTAGGTGATTTTGGTACACTTGGAATGGTGAAAATTTGATGCATTTCTGCAATATAAATCGCAGGCCTTGRTGAAGACAAGGACATTCTTACAGTAACACTGCAGTTCTATATTGCAGCTTCTGAAATTTTACTTAGAGCAAAAGAAAAATGGATTGCCCAATGCTTTGTAAACTAGTAAGAGCTATTCCCTAAAGGGAACAACCATCTGATGACTCTCCTAGCTTGATGTTGTATTGCTTAAGCATTGGCTATAATTCTAACAATCATATGGTGGATGACTGGGACAGGTTTTTTGTTTGTTTCTGTTTTTGGTTTTAATTGTTCTCAAAAAGAAATGTGTATTCAGACTAGCTTCGTTTTCTCCTCCCATTATGAAATGGTTTAACTTTATGCTTTATGCTAGTAATGCAATATTTTCTTAGGATTATAATGTCTGACAGCACAGGGTACTCAAAGTGGGGAGTGTTTGTCTGACCTTGATTGTTGTTACCGTGGATGAATAGAAGAAGGCAGACTGGAGGAGTGTTTAACATCTTGCCTCTGTCTAAAAATGAGTTAAGCTGGTGCCTAATTTTTTGTGCATTTCCGATTTGTGCCTTTTTTT